CCACAGAAAGGGGGGGGGGGGGGGGGGGGGGTGCCATGCTTCACCCATAAAATGATTACACGGGCCCAGGTTCTGCTTGCAAAATCTGCCTGCAAATTAGGTAAATCCCTATTGATGGGTATTGGAGCTTTTGTGGAGGATTACAGTGTAACATGTAGGACCTTAAAGTCCACTGAATCAATTAAAAGACTCCCATTGACATCAGTGGTCTTAACATCAAACCCATATTGCTGTGCTGTGCCCCAACCCCCTATTAACAAATTACTCCACTTTTTGATGATGCCTGTATTAGAAACTGAGTTCAAGATCAGGCCCCAAGTAAATAAATCACTTCTAATTAGAAAAGGGAAAATTATTTAAAATATATTAAGAATCCACTCTGACCCTAAATTAGACCACTCCAGCTGAACTGTTTGGGTACCATGTCTTCTAACAAGTTTGACTGTAATACAAAGGCAATATTACCACAATGATGAACTTTTCTGGCAGGGTATTTTTTCTTTTTTAACTTTTGCTTCAAATTCAAGCCATGATGATGATAGCCAACATATTATGAAAAGTTTTTCCTGAATTAAAGACTGCTTTGAGTTTTGACTTAACTAAATTAAGTCACTCATTTCCTTGCTGCATAAGGTATATGACCAGGCTGGTGTCTTTTATTAGTAATTTTTTATTATTATTCATTGAGTATCAACACTGGATAAATTCCCTACCTCACAGTTTGTTTAGTCAAACAAATTATTGGGCTCAGCCAATGGGTCACCAGGTGACATTCTGTACCCTATGTTATACAGGAATCCAGACTGCATGGTAGAATAGTCCCTTCTGGCTTTTAAGTCCAATAATTGCTTTGTGCTTTACAAAGACCATACCAGTACTTACAGACATGCAGAAACTGGATGCTGACCTTGCAATTCAAATTCCAAATATCAAGTGCAGAATTTTCTTTTTCCATAGGCCCAGAAAGCAACATTAGAAGGTTCATCTGAAGCATCTAGAATTGACCTGTATGAGAGAGAGTGCAATTGAGAAGAGCTTCATCACAGCAAATAGTTTGTCCCTAGAGTAGATACTGTTGTAATTGGGACTCGCTCTTTACAAGGTAGAAGAGTCCCAAGGGGAGTTAGGCACCTAAGGCATTTATACACATACTTTTCTGTCCC